TGTAGATGTGTCAAGGAGGTGATTTCACAAATCATAATGGAACTGGTGGGAAATCAATTTATGGAAAAAAGTTTGAAGATGAAAATTTTGTTTTAAAACACACCGAACCTGGTAAGTGTCAAAAAAAGGGCTGAACCATTTTGTAAATACAGGAGGGGCAATGAATGGATTAAATAAGGAGTGAATCATGTGTTAATATAGGAGGGGCTATGAGTGGACTGAGTAAAGATGAACCATTAGGTAGGGAGTATATTTGCTCATTTCCTTGATTTGTAAAATGTACTTTATTTTAGCTATTGTTTTATTACTAGGTATCCTATCGATGGCAAACTCTGGAGTCAATACCAATGGATCACAGTTCTTCCTCACAACAGAGAAAACAGATTGGTAAGTTGAAGGTGCCTGTTCAAGGCCCCCTAAGATCATAGTAATTTGTATATGAAGCATCCTAACATGTGGATCGCAAATGACACAATTTTTTTGTCTTCTCATAGGTTGGATGGAAAACATGTTGTATTCGGAAAAGTTATTGAAGGAATGGATATAGTCAGGAAAATGGAAGCAGTGGGATCAAAATCTGGGAAACCCACGCAAAAAGTTGTTATTGCAGACTGCGGAGAGCTTGTATCATGAACAGACAGATTTTATGAACTGTACTTATGTGACAAGTAATGATGAAATGGAAGGGGAGAATGCTTCAGAATCCTTGACCTGATTTGTTATATTGAGCAGTTTGTTCATCTCCGTTCGAATGCAGTCCGAAAACTAGGACTCATGGATTGACCTCTATGTGTGTGTGCATCCAAACCTGTATCTTGGACAAGCCTGGGCAAATCGCATTAAAATTTAGTACAATTTGTACATATGTTGAACATTATTGATGGACATCATTTTGTTTTTTTAAGATCAGATATAAAATGGCCGATTGCTGGCCATTTAGTTTTAAAGAATGCTGGTCCTGAAGTAATTTCTCTGACTTGCCCTGACCATTCAAGTTCTGACTGTATACATTTCTTAAAATTGATAACTTGACTGGACATTCAGCATTTCTAATGTACTAAATATGTGTAACCATTCCAATATACTGATTTTCACAAACAAACGTGTTGAAAATACAATGATATTTAACATCAATCATGTTATTAATACTTAGTGCCAAGAAATTAATAAATCTTTTTGTTTTTATTTTGTTGTTTTGGTATTTTTTTTCTGTTATTGTCTGTAAATTACAGTGTACTGATTCATTTGTTATATTTCAGACAAAAAACAGAATTTGCTGTCTATCTCTACAGACAGTGATGGGTGAAGTTTAGCTTTACCATCACACATTAATAATTTCCAGTTTTGGTATACTGCCCTCAATGGTTTGGTACCCATGTCACGGTAGTGTAATGTGTGGGACAGGAACAGAGTCTATTAATCTCATAAAACCCCCCCAAAAAAAATCATTTTCTTTGGAGCAGATGCTAGTTATGGAAAAATGACCTTGCAGATATTTTAGAAACCACTTCCACTTTTGCAAAACCACACCCAAATTAGCGATCAAATAAAAAGTTGTACTTTTTGGTATGTCGCTATTGTTCTAACAGTCTGCTAACCTTTGATATCAGACAAATTTTTGTTCAGATTTTACAAGAGTATTTTTTCCTTGTTCCAAACAACACTTGCCCGTTTACTAGTTTCTTTGTTCTCAATGCCAATTTACTGGGAAAGTATTCTTTCTTAGTTCCAAATATTGTTGTTTATCTTCAACACTAATTAAGGTTAACCAAATATCATTTTAGATTAACGACAGGTCTTGATAACAAATTTTGAGATAAAGTGCAGCTTTATTTTACAAAGGGTGAAAAAAAATTGAGGTCAATGGTCATTTTTTCTTGTATGCAGACGGGAGTGCATGTGTATATAAAAATTGGTGGTTATCACTGGTATGAGAAATGTCTTTAATTAAAAGCACAAAATAGAATTCAAGACTACAGTAGACTAGTTAGAAAAACAAACATTGTATTTCAAACATTGTATTCTCTTAAAATACATGTACATATACAAAAAAAAAAATGAAAAAAAAATTCTTGTTTAACAAAACTTATTTTTCGTTCCCATCTATTTACATGTTTTCTATACAATATTTACAAATGGTACACAGTGGTATTTCGCTGAATTTTAATGTTACATTGAAATGACTAAGGATATTGAGCGCTAACTCCAATATGTGGAAAAATAATTTGACAATTGTGCGTTTCCACACAAAATGAATTCTCAGATTTAAAGTTTCTGAGTCGCTTCACATTACGTAAACAAATACTGTATGCATAGAATCCACATTGAACTTGGCAACTAACAATGAGTGTATATAAAATAAAGCAGTCTACGGTAACGTGTTAGGATTACTTTGAGTTAAATGACAATTACTGCATTGTGGCAAGTGAAACGCAATAAAATGTAGGAATGTGCGTATGCTATAATGACGCTAAGAAACTCAACTACCGATATACATGCACTGTAAAAAGTAAAATTTTGTCACTCGGCGAAAAATTGCAAAATTAAATGGTTTACAGTATGAAAACCACCCATTCAGAGAAAAAAATATTTTAAAATAGTTACTAGAATATTTCACAAAATTATAACAATCAAGTAATAATTTCACAGAAACAAAAAAAAAACAATGCAACTTGTACTGTAAAATCTGCGCTAGAAGTCACATTGAACATTAATTAAACACTGTAAATACAGTAATACCATAGTGTGCGCATTATCTACATTATACCTTGTACAGTATTGCACAGCAAGATAAAATTCACTACACAACGATTGTAAAGTGGATGCCAAACACTCGTTCAATCGGTTACCGTCCTTTTTGACAGTTTTCTTAATGACATTGGCATAGCAAAGCAAATGGGGGCAATCGCATTTCTGGTGCTGTTGTAACTATCAGTTGATTGGGGGGGGGGGTACCTATTCCGATTGCAATGGAGCAGTCATCTACTGTCCATAGAGGTGAAATACTTGAGCATACTGGCGAGGTGGTTACTAAGGGAACAATAATCTGACATCTTTTACATACTTTACAAAAAAAAAAGGACTAAATATTGTTTTGATCAAAATTTGTGCGAAATATCAAGCCAGCAATTCGTCATATTTGATTTCTACATTTTCCAAATTTATAGAATTTTGTCAATTATTATTTCACTAAAAAATAAGGTACAACTTGAAATAAATACATTCAATATAAAAAGAAAATCTACAAAATGCAAGAAAATATTGCAGTAGGCCTCGCATCGTGGCACTTTCTGATCACATATAAAAAAACTGTAATATTAAGTGTGAAATATAAACTGGTGGGTTGTGGTTTTCACTGATTTGACATCAATGTGAACAGTGCCAGACATCACATCTAGTGTGGATACCATGCGATGTATTACCAGATATTATTTCAAATAAATTGTTTATATGGGCAACAAAAATATGTTTTATGTTATTTTCATTCAGGCTACAATTTATAATTTACATAATTTTGTTTTTTTTAGTCTCCAAGCATCAAACTTACTGAAAATGTTATTTCCATTGTGAATATTGGCATACCGATTTTGATAAAAATTACAAAAAATCCGGGACATGGTTTTAGAGATAGCACCATAGAGGATGATAATTCAGAACCAGGTCTGAGCAACAACCTAATTTTGTACATGATTATTATTTGTAGAAAACTACCATCTAAGAGAATCCTATATTACTGTACTATACATGTTGAGTGAAAATATTTGCGAATTACATAGTATTAATCAATGATAATTTGTAGCAAATTTTCACGGTGTTCCACAACCGTGTCAGTGATGAAATTTTCTTTTTAACACCGCCAAGTCACTGTAAATTGTTTTTATCTGTGGGAGGAATCAGTGATGATAAAGTCCAGAAAAATGTTTATTTTCCTTGTAGCATGAACCAAATTATCTCTATTAAGCCATACTGCCATAATGTTCGCAGCAAAAAGACATTACCCGGTAAAAATAAAGTATACAACAGGGTATGATCATAATACCCTGCTGCTTAAAGCATCATTTTCGTAACATCCAATGTGACACGTGTGTAAAATACTATAAATCTTCATTTTTGCTGTGAGGAATTGTCAGAATTTGATGATTTTATGGCCTATGGGAAGACAACATTTTGCAAAAGTCGCTGACATTATAGAACTTTACCGCTGCAAAATTTCATTATCTTTCGCAGACTTTCAATTTGTCCCTCACTAAATAAAAGCGATTTACAGTACAGTATTGATACACAATTTGAACAATGTGAATTGAAAAATGTGAATTAAATGAGTTACTTGTATTATTATTATTATCAATATTGATGAGGAATGGTAGTGCTCAATTTCCCAAAATCATGACTCGAATTTTTTCGAACCCAACATTTTTTTTCTTCTATAAATACTGATATAGTACATGTGCAGATTATACCTTGACGGCTACATGTATAACAGACTTTATGATACGATAAAATGGGTTATAGTTTTTCTTCATAGCACTATTATCTACGAATGCCAGCCATTTTTTGCAAAAACTCTCATATTTATAAGAGAGGCTCCAGTGTGATCTAAAAAGGTCACAGTTCAAATTTTAGATATTTCAAGGTCACTACCATTCCTTCTTAAATTGTAAAATGTAGCAAAGTACAGTAAATCATTATGATTTACAACAATTTTTGAGTTTCTGAAAACTGTCTTTGATATCAGACTCCAGCGGTCTCTTCACCTTGGACATCCATTTATTCAATGCTTCTATGCCCATATTAGGATCAGCAAGTGCGAGATGTAGAACACACCTGGCAACGCTGCACTGAACGCACCAGGGAACTCCATCCTGGTACAACACGCTACACAACATCTTCAGTAACTCGCACACTGATGATTTATTTTCCAAAAGTCCTGATCTCGCCGTAGCTCTGATGACATCAAAAACCATGATGACGCTACTACAGTCTGTGTTTTTGTCCATTTTCAACTTCTGACCCCATTCGCGAAGTATTGGCCACATCGCTTCACGTATCAGCCAGTTATTGCACCATTCCCACCCTTGATGTACAGCCAACAGCTCTAACGCTTTGATGATTTCAAATCCTAGCGGTGTCAACACACCTTGACTCTGTGAATTGATCAACACCAGTTTCCTCTCTCTGATCTGCTTGATAAGTTCCATACATATTGTTTCTGCTTTTAATTCTCCAGTAAGCTTCCATCCGCACATTAAATCCATATAGTTGACCATAACATGCTGCTGTTGCTGATTGGCTATAGCTTTAAGTTCAAGTCCAGTAACCAGTCCAAGTGCGCTAAGTACCGGCTGGACATAATCTTGTTTCTGGAGAATCATTGGCCACACGCCAACAATTGAAAGCAATATATGCAACCTGTCTTGTCTGTTTTCCCTGAATATATCATAACATAGAACACACACACACTCCTTGAATCCACACAACCGCGATACACCTGTGTAAATCCTACACAGCGCGATACAAGGCATTAACTGCGTATGTGACATCACTGCATTATGAAGTCCCTGCAGCAAACAAGTCTGCACGGTCTGTGAAGTACGTTTAATTTTATTTGCCAATTCCATTACAATGTGCTCCTCCATTAGTGCAATCACAGGTTGAGTGTTGTTATTTTTATTCCAGCATTTGGCCGCTATAGCCGGCATCAAATCGTAAGAGGTAGATTCGGTATACTGTAGTATGGCTTGCAGAACTGCCACAACAGCTGCTTCAGTGTTCATCTGTCTTATTTTGCTTACAATATTCTGCACAACTTGATCTGAGATGAAATTCCCTTCAATCGATGACAATGAATGAATTTTCTCATCCTGCATCAGTTTTTTCTGTTCCTCAATTTTTTGCTGCTGTTGCTTTTTCTTCTTCTTCTTCCTATTTCTTTTTTTCCTTTTTTGCTTTCCTTTCTGTTCGATCTGATGTTTATTGATTGCTAGTTCCCCCCAGAGTGTTCCAATGTCTTTTTTAGTAGTGCTTGGATTCTGGAAACCCTTTTCAGAATTTCTCACACCATTGTCCCTTTCCAAAGTTTCATACTCCGTACACAAGTCAACCTCTTTCTCAGATTCATCACTTCCAAATAACAGTTTTTCTGCCATCTTTATATTGTGCTTATTGTTGGGTTCAAAGTTCCCGTCAGTGGAGGTTCCGGCAACTGAATAGAAACTATTCTGTTGTGGTGTTGAATCTTCTTCTGTACATGTAGTGAGATCATCTGGTAGATGACTGTTAAAAGACATCAAGTTTTTAGTTTCTCTGCATGGCAAGTCTGTGGACGATTTACAATGCAAGGCAACTGACTGTTCTGCTGTCTTGCAAGTGTCAGGTTTTGCAGCATTAAGCACTTCAGGTTTGGGTGAATCAGTAACACAAGCTGGCCGAGACATTTCTACATTTGTGGGTTCAGTTTTTTTTGGTGCTGATGTCACAACAGTGCAGGACTTTCTCTTGGAAGAGATGCAAGTAAAGTTTCCAGACAGCTTAGACATATCAAACGATGAACGACTATTTGTCATTGTGGAACTCATTCCATTTGGCTTGACAGATTTTAATGCATTGTTATTTCCGGGAGTCAAATTGATGGTATTCCGTGATGTTGGGCATTTTTCCCTGCTCGGTTTATTGGAATTCGGCTCATTACTGAACATGTGGAGTAAACTCCGGGATGCATTAGGAGGATGTGGCATCACCGGAATGGCATCTTTGGGAGCTGTAACCAGAAATTTACATGGGGACCTCCAGTGGCTGCTTCGTGTGTGTCCTGGTGTGATGGGCGACGATGTGTTATCAATGATGTCCCCCAATGGTGACAACACTGGTTGCATAGGTGTCTGGGGTAGGGGTGATACCATACTAGGTATAGGGGTGACTGTTCTGCAATACACAGGTGAAGGTGGGAGGGGTGATACCGGGGGATCCAGAAAGTCTGTTAAATTGGACATTGCAGTCAGTGGTGTTGATTCTCTCTTCAGAGTAGGTGTGTGATCTCTAGCTGTTGATGTGACAATAACAGGCGAGATGCTCGTTGTCCTTGTTGACGTCACTGGCCGTGAAACAACCGCCACACTCACAAAGCTTGTGACAGCAATCGTAGACCGTGGAAATGGCACTGATGGACGAACGTTATGTCGTGGCACAATTTTATTCCGTTCAAGAGTCCTGCCCGGATGCTTCTCACGTTCACTGTCGATTTGACGACAGTCATGCCTTCGCAGTTCCTCTTCAACATCAAACACACCAGCATTTCTAACTCCATTTACACTACATTTCACAAGTTTCTTAGCGGGACTCTTTACATATTCTTCCATATCAGTAAGGTTTCTTACTGTCTTCCTTTCAACAGGTCTATCTTTCCTCTTCCTTTCCATGCGTATTTCTTTCTCTTTCCCATCCACAATTATTACTTTCTGCTTCTCAAAAATCTGCTGAACAGCTCCACCTTTATCTGACCTTTCAAAACTGTCATTGACATGTTTATGACACTCCCCAGGCCTAACAATATCTTTCTCATCATCTTTGGAAAAAATTCTCCCTGGACTACCAACTATGTTCATTCTCTCAATCACTGTGTCTCTCACTTCATCAGTATTCATCATAGTGTCCCCTAGCTCTCCATCATTCATCATAGTGTCCCCTAGCTCTCCATTATTCATCATAGTGTCCCCTAGCTTTCCATTATTCATCATAGTGTCCCCTAGCTCTCCATTATTCATCATAGTGTCCCCTAGCTTTCCATTATTCATCATAGTGTCCCCTAGCTCTCCATTATTCATCATAGTGTCCCCTAGATCTCTATTATTTATCATAGTGTCCCCTGGCTCTCCATTATTCATCATAGTGTCCCCTAGCTCTCCATTATTCATCAGAGTATCCCCTAGCTTTTCATTATTCATCATAGTGTCCCCTAGCTCTCCATTATTCATCATAGTGTCCCCTAGCTTTCCATTATTCATCATAGTGTCCCCTAGCTCTCCATTATTCATCATAGTGTCCCCTAGATCTCCATTATTTATCATAGTATCCACTAGCTCTCCATTATTCATTATAGTGTCCCCTAGCTCGCCATTATTC